ATGAGTACCAGTGCTGGCCGGGCTACGGCGACGTCGGCTGGCGCAACGAGAGCACTGCCGGCGGCTACGTGGAGATCACCTTCGAGTTTGACCGCATCAGGAACTTCACCGCCATGAAGGTCCGCGCGCCCCTCACCCTGTCCCCCATCCCCGTCCCCTGCCATGGCCGCGCTGACGGGCTGCCCCACAGGTCCACTGCAACAACATGTTCGCCAAAGGGGTGAAGATCTTCAAGGAGGTGCAGTGCTACTTCCGCGCCGACACCAGCGAGTGGGAGCCCAGCGCCGTCTCCTCGGTGCTGGTGCTGGATGATGTGAACCCCAGCGCTCGCTTCGTCACCGTGCCCCTGCTCCACCGCATGGCCAGTGCCATCAAGTGCCAGTACTACTTCGCCGACGCCTGGATGATGTTCAGCGAGATCACCTTCCAGTCGGGTACTCATCGCCAAGAGCCTCACAGGGACCAGACCCTCCTGGAGGGGGTTCAAGGAGGGAGTGAGGGTGTGGGGCACCCGCATCCCCCCCACCCTGATGCTCTCCTCTCTTGCCAGATGCAGCCATGTACAACAATTCGGTGGCCCCTCCTGAGGTGCCTGTGATCCCCACCACTTACGGTAAGGCATCAAAAAGCACGTGGCCCCAAGCTAGGTGGGGAAATGCTCAGGGGGGCTCTGCCCCATCTGATGCAGGAATGAAGCAGAGGCTCTGCCCATGCTCCAGCGTGACCGGGTCTTGCTGTCCCCTTCTCCTACCAGACCCCACGCTCAAGGTAGATGACAGCAACACGCGCATCCTGATCGGATGCCTGGTGGCGATCATCTTCATCCTGGTGGCCATCATTGTCATCATACTGTGGCGGCAGTTCTGGCAGAAGATGCTCGAGAAGGTGGGCAAGTGCAGGGTGGCTGGTGAGGTGCCTCAGGGTGGTGGGCTCATCCCGGGCAGGTTCTTCTGGGACCTTGGCATGGGGAAAGCAGACTCCATGAGGGGGCTGATGCTCCCTTCCCCTCCTCCGGAAGGTTACGATTTGCACCCATCGCCCAAGGAAGAGGATTTAGCTGAGCAGGGCGGTGATTTTGGGACCTGCCTGCTTGTCCATCCCTCTGTTGTTAAGCGGGGCTGGGGAAGAGGAGCCTGAGGGGGTCTCACTGCAGCCCCCGGCTAACTGAGGGCAGTCACCGAGGTAACAGAGCCAAAATTTTCTCCATTGAAGAAGACAATAGAAGGGGGTGGACATGACAACAAACGTCTTCCCCAGGCGGGTGCTGCAGCCCTGGGACAGGGCACCAGAGAGGGGGGCTCGAGGCTGGGCAAGGCCAAGGTGGCATGGAGCACAGGAGACCCCATC